GGCTGCCAGGCAGCTGGCGTGGCGTCACCTCTTTCGTCATCCTTGTCATTCTGCTCCTGCCTTCGCGGGGCCCGGGAGCCCCGGCCGGGGGCGCCCCCTAGTCTTCCGAGGCGGCGGTGGGCGGCCTCCGAGGGCCACCCGAGCTCCCCGATCGCCGCTGGTGGCATCTGCGGGGCGGAGAGGGGACGCGGCCGCCTAGCAAGTAGGGCCGGGCTAGGGAGCAAGAGCCTGGATCGCAGCGTGGACCCCGGTGCTACAGCGTCCGGGCCCGGGGGTCGTTGCTGTTGGCCAGGGCGGTGCCCAGTGCAGAGGGACCGCGTGGGGCTGTCAGTTTGGGGTGTAGACCCGCATCCAGTGATCCTCCAGGGACCTGCATTATGTTGGGCACAGGAGGTTTTAGTGCTGACCAGACCACTGCTAACTGAAACGCCTTTATGAACTGTATCCTGGGCAGGCCACGCTGCTTTTTCCTGAGAGACGTTAACTAATGACATACCAATTTATAACACAAGACAGACTACAAAATTTGAATAAATTTATAATGTAAAACTGCAAAGGAAGGGACTTCCAGTAACACGTTCTGCTGCAAGACTGCACGCAGTTTAAAGACATATTCTTTGGAGTTTTGGGTGCACAACCCACGTGTGCGTGATTTAATACGTACTTTGTGGGTTAAGCAATTTGTTTTGCCCTTTAAATTTTCTTTCTCCCCCCTCTGTCCCTATACTACAGCACCAGGGCTCACTGGGAGGGAAATAAATACAAACTGGTTCCCTTCTGCCTTCCAGTAAATGTTGTCACAGTCCAGTTGCATCAGTCTGTGGGCAGCATTTTAAAAAAAAATCAAGATCGTATTTCAACCAACCAGATGCAGGATCAGATTATGAAAAGACCACATAGGTATTTCCTGTGGCTCCGTTTACAACAGGTGTCCCCTCCGAATAGTCTCTGAGTCAGAGGATGTGGAGGGAAGGGTGGCAGGGAAAGCACAGTATTACAGGTAGAGAGAAAGTAGCAAATCATCGTGTGTTCCAGAATTTTTCGAACCAAGCTCTGAACCAAAAAAAAATTTTTAAAAGATTCACTAGATTTTTAATTAACATTTTAATTGTGCTAATAGAAATTGAAGTCATGAGATGATTTTATTAACAAAACTATTCTCCATTAATGATTTATAGTTATATTTCCAGGAAAAGTTGGGGTTTTTGTGTATATGTGTTGGCTACTATTCATAAGCTTGCAAAACAAAACAAAACAAAACAAAAAAGGATCTGTTGAAGATCTATCTTACTAAGGGCTCAATAAAGTTTAGTGAGTTAATGTGATGTTTTCAAAGTTGCGTAGACCTTTCCTAGTTTAGATTTTAGAGAAGTCATTAATAACTCCCTGTCCCTATCACTACAAAGTCAAATCATATTTTCATATTATTTAACTTTTTCCTGCAGTTTCTTTTAAAGTAAATGCTGCAGCACTCAAATGAGTGTTCTGAACCTGCCAGGTGTGGTGGCATGTACCTGTAATCCCAGCACTCAGGAGGCAGAGGAAGGAAGATTGCTGAGTTCAAGGCCAGCCTGGGCTACATAGTGAGTTCATGGCCAGCCTGAACTGCATAGCAAGACCTCATCTCAAAAAGCCCAAAAAAAAAAAAAAAAAAAAAAAGTGTTCTGAACCTATTCTAACAGTTTTCTTTTTCATTTTTGTGGTTTGTTAACCATAATGGGATAATTTCCTTTTTTAAAAAATGAAACATTTGCATAAACCTTGACTCAAATACTATTTTCTGAGAATGTCAGTCTACTATTTTTACAACTTCCTTTTAAACTTGTCCAGAGTTGCTCTCTTTCTTTTTTAACCCATATCTAGCAATCTTAGTGATGTTTTACCATTACTCCCTGGGAAATCTATACACACTGTATTTTACTGTGTAAATAATTATTCACTTGTGTTTACATGGTGATTCCATCGTTGATTTAGATGGCACTGTTTTCATTGTGTGGAAGAGATATATGCTTATCACTTTTTAAGCTTTTTTATTCTACTAGACAATTAGAGGGAGAGAGAAAAGCGTTGTCCAGTTGAGTTTCATGGGTACCAGAAACATGCAAAATACCAAGGAAATATTTCAAGACCCTGTTTTGCTTTCTAATGATGTTCATATTCTTAGACTAAAAAAGATCTAAACATACGTTTCCTCAATTACTTCCAAAAACTGACAAAAACTTCTTTCTTCTTTAGTGGGACTGTTTTGGATGGGTTTTTGGTCTTGGGTGCTTTGTTGTTTTCTGAAGGAGAGGATGGTGGACATACTGGTGAAAATATGTGCTAATTTTGGAAATGACAGGGACCCCTGTGTCTCCCTTATGTCGTAGTCCAAGAAGCCAACTTCATGTAACTGTAGGACTTTGCTTTAAAATTCAGGAAGAAGAAATCTGTTTGTGTATAATTTTATAATATTCAATGTCATGCATTTCTTTAGGTTCTGTATTTATATTAAATAATCATTTTCTCATAATATCAATAAAGTTGGACAAATCACTTATTCTGCTTTCACATTTATCTGCACACAAGGCTGGCAGTGGGACCATGTCCCTTTCAAAGGCTTAGGCATGGGAAAAAATCCTCTCCGTACTGCAACCTTTGAGTTGTTTATTTTTCCTTCATTACAAAAGTAGCATATTTACAATATAAAAATAGGAAAAAATTAAAACCTAAGGTTAGCTCCACTAGAGAAAACACTGAATATTTTAGCAAATTTCTGCCAGTCTTTCCACAATATATATTTAGCTAGATGTGAATATACAATTCACATCATATGAATCTGTCTTACATTTAACATGAATTTTTCCTTCTTATTTAAAATTTGTAAAAGCAATGTTTGTATAGCTAAACATCATGAAGAAAGACCCTATTTCACGTAAGCATTCCCTGCTTTGGGATATTTAGATGGCTTACAGTATTTTAGCACTATAAATACACTGTAATGGCTGCATTTTGAACTGGGAAAGCCACATTCTAAGTGTTATTTGGAGCCCCAAAACCACAGTTTTGTAGGCTCATGTGTACTTGTACACATGTGTTTATCCGAGCGGTGGTGTCAGAGTGCATTCTTGCCATGGAGGGCAGTTGAGAAGAGTTAAATGGAAAGAGTAAGCAAAAACAGCTTCTTTCTTTCCTTTCTTACAGTTGATAGAAACTGCAGCCCCAATGCATGTAATTAACCAGATTTTTTTTCTATGAACCAGGGAAGTTGTTTTTTTTATTGCCCAGATGCAGCAAGTACTAGAAATACTAGTGGGTATGTTGATGTTGCCGACTCTCAGAGATTTGATTTGCTGTTTTTAAAAATGAGCTGTATTTGCTGTAGAGAATTCTGCTAAGAAATGCCAAGAATTCTCTGGAGGGCTTTTGAAAAGCTGTAGAAAAAGTAGTGTCTAGATTAGCTGTGAGTCACTTTGTGGATTTCACACAGATCAAAACACCCCCTCCCCCACACCTTAGAGCTGACAGTAGCCTGCATGGTGCTCCTCATCCACCCTGGAAAGCTCTGTCTTCACTGCGGGTATAGCACTCAGCACCCAGGGAGACTAGGAGTTCAGTCCTCATCATCTGACACTCCTTGGTGGCTTAGGGTGTCACTTTCTTGTTCTAAACCATCCACATAGATGGTTCACTGGTGAGTTACATTCTCCATACACACAGTGTACTCATTATTTCCTTTAAAAAAACTGCCCTCCCTGTAGTGTTTCTGATTTCCAGAAACAGTACCCACCTGCCACATTGGAAGCATCAGGCCAGAACCAGATGGCCTGACATGCCAGTCTCTTATGCTGAAATATCGGTGAAGGTACAGCAGAAGGAAGGTAACATAGCACCGGAATTGTGCTCAGGGGTTAATACACTGTGTGTTACAGAAGAAATGCTTTCCTAAGCTACTTGGGTGATGGTGGCAGCTAAGAGGGAGGCCTCTTAAAGCATTCTAGAATAACAGCAAATTGTTGCTAAATTTCTCCCCAGCCCCTATGGGTGTCAGAATCTTTGCAGAGTTATTGTTTTGCTCAGTGGAATATATCTAGGATTTGGGGACAGGAAATAAATTGCTGGATAGTGTGGAAGAGGTAGGCCATCATAGCCAGCGATCTAGCTTCTTCACTGAAGAAATTCCCCTCCCTTAGGGTGCATGACATTTAGGGTCTTCCATTGGCTGGCTAACCCGGTTTTTGAACTTCCATCATTGCCCATCAATGTATCTCTTCAAGTAATTATGTCTTCCATTGTCATGGGAACACTTGATTTTCCTCCAAAATTCAACATTTGCTTTTACTCTCTCATGCCTCTCACACACTAATGATTCATAGCACCTTCTCCATCTGTTAAAATTCTACTCATCTCCCAAGGGCCAGCCCTGATGGGAATTCTACAATAATGCCCATATTTGCATTGTACTTTGCCAACTAGGAAGCACTTTTAGGTTATACTAAATGTAACTACAGCATCATCTCCTGATGTTCACGGCTTCTTCTCTCTTGGGCCTCTCTCAGATCCATGACCCCTATGCATCACTGATCCAGGATGCCCTGCACATCCTTAGCCAGTCCATAGGTGAGGTGGTTCTCCGTAAGCCCTCTCTTTCTTTTGTGAGATGATAAGATCATTCCTCAGTAGTTTCCAACTCCATGAAGCAGCTAATTAAACTGTCCCCCTGGGGAACCAGGCTCTTTGTCCAAAGAAGGGAAGACTT